TTGGCAACAATGATGACTTGAAGATTCTATTTACTACTAACGCTAACATGAAAAATACTAATTTGTATCTATTAGATATTAAGATTAAAGATTAACCACTTTACTCAGAGTAATATAAGTTCGAGCCAAATAAAAATACTACCATTTCTATTAAAGCAAATTTATTCCCTGTTGTGAATGGTGGTATATTTACAGTTCAACTTAGAAAGCTTGGTGCCGAATTTTATTCAGATTATCAATACTATTATGCAAGAAAGGACAATCTTTATGTTACAACCCAAAATGAAAGTTAGGTTAGACCTTGGGACACAGATTAATTCTCTTATTTGCCAGCAGATGTTCTGATTTCCTGGTTTGAATTTAAGGGAGAAATCACATTCTTCAAGAAACCTTCAAAGACATTGAAAGTAACTGTGACTACTGATAAAGCAATATACTTACCTGGAGAATAGGTTAATTACACAGTTAAAGTAATAGATGCTTAAACTAACCAAGTTTCTAAAGAAAATGTATATGTAAGTTTGATTGTGACAGATGACTCAGTATTCACAAAACTTGAAGATCGCAAGCAACCACCCTCACTTGCAGCTAGAGTACTTCTTGAAAATGAAATATTAAAGACAGATGATAGTGAGTTCTATTGGGGAAATTAGTATGTTGAGCATTGGTTCACTTCTAATGCTGCTTCTAATGATCAGAACATTGAGCTTCTTTTTGGAGTATAAGGATGGAGATACAAACTCTTTGATACTGAATCGATAGTTAGGATGACTTCAACTAACTTTCAAGGATATGATGAGACAACAAAACAAGCAATTTAGCAATTATTTGCACTAAAATTAGATAACAGATATTCAAATTCAAATTCGACAGCAATTGCAGCTCCAGCAATGGCAAATAATGCCAATGTTAAGAGAGATCCAGCTATTGGAAAGATGGCTCCTGTAAATGTGAGAATTTAAACAGACAGTAATGTACCTACTGAAGATGATCCTAATCAAATTGATTTTATGACTGGCATTTCTAACCCAAGGCTATGGGCTCATCCAAGGAGAAAGAATTACGATGTAAATGAGAGAATTGACTTAACAGAGACTGTTATGTATCAGTCAGCAGGAATGGCTACCAAAGGAGAGATTAAGGGATCATTCTATCTAAGTGATATCATTACCAAATTTAGAATCATAGCTGACGCCTTTTCAACAACAGGATAACTTGGTTATTAATAAGTATCCTTGTAGACTCAGAAACCAGTTTATATGACATTTGATATTCCTGCCTCAATGATAGTTGGAGATATAATAAAAATAAATGCTTAAGTCTTCAATCTTAATTCTTACAAGATCGCAGGTAGTCTAAGTTTATTGAAGATAGATTCAAGTTTAAATGCAACATTACCTAAATCTATCATTTCTATTGACTCTAAAAAGAGTTCTTCAATAGTATTCACTATTAAAGCCGAGAAAATCACTGAACTTGCCCAAATCTAAGTTAAGTTTGAAGGAACTGGCAATAATATCACTTACTCAGATTCTTTGAAATAGGTTACAAGAGTAATTGCTAAAGGATTCCCAATGAAAGTAAGCCAGGGTGGTATGATTGGTTCCTAGATTTTCGATCAATCTACTCCATCATCCATTTCTTTTGCTCTAAATGTACCTCCAAAATTAGAGACAAGCTCTTCAAATTACACTCTCAAGATATTCAGCTCCTCATATGCAAGCTTAGTTGAAGCAGTTAAAGCCTTGATTGCGGAGCCAAATGGTTGCTTTGAGTAAACCTCCTCTGTATCATATCCTATGGTTATGGCATTAGGATTCCTTTAAGCTTTGCCTGTTTAAGATTCAAATATCAAGGAAATGAAGCTAGAAATAACAGAGAAGCTGAAAAAAGGATATGATAAGCTAGTTTCATTTTAGACAAAAGAAAAAGGATATGAGTGGTTTGGTTAGAGCCCAGCTCATGAAGGATTGAGTGCTTATGGTCTCCTGCAATTCATTGAAATGTCAAAGGTAACTCAATTCGTTGATGGCTAAATGGTTAAAGACTTGAAATCATGGCTATTAAGCAGAAGAAACAGTAAGGGAGGATTTCTGCAAAATGATAAGGCTTTAGACTCATTTGGTAGAGCTCCATCAAATATCACTGATGCCTATATTGTATGGGCTTTGACATCAGCAGGAGAGACTAACCTTACAGCTGAAATCACTTACTTAATCTCCTTAGCTGATAAATCAATAACTTCAAAGTCAATAGATGCTTATTTCCTAGGACTATTGTCATCATCTCTATATAATCTGAAGAGAAATGAAGAAGCATAGAAATATGCTGATATCATTGTAAATAATTAATAACCTGAGGGAAATATTACAAGATCTAAGACTACTATCACAACATCAGATGGAAGTTAAAGAATCATTGAGACAACTGCAATTGGTATAATAGCTTGGATGAATGATTAAAGTAGATATTCATTACAAATCACTAAGGCAATTAACTGGCTAGTTTAATAAGTAAAAATTGGTAGATATGGATCTACTCAAGGTACTATTCTGTCTCTAAAGGCAATTACTACCTACATGAAGAATTCTCCTACCATAAATGGTGATGGATAATTTGTACTAAGAATTAATGACACTGCTGCCTAAACTATTCAGTTTACTCCAAAGTTGAAAGAAAGTATTGAATTCGACTTCAATAATATTATTTCTGATCCAAGATTCACTGCATTGATAACTCCAGGTTCAACTGTCAAAGTAACTTTATCCTTGGAGAATTTCAAATAAAGGGCTGGAGAGACTAGTGATTTCAAAGTTAACTTTGCCTTTATGTATTCATACTCAGACCTAAATCCGGCACCTGCCTCAAAAGCATTATCGTATGATGTTCTCTAAAAATTTGACGCCAAAAATCTAGGTGCTGATAATTAAATTGGAAAATCTTTCTAATATGTTCTCAATTTAAGAAATTTAAACACAACAAAGGGTATTGGGATGACAATAGCAGCACTAAGTGTGCCTGCTTGCCTGTAAATAGATTTCAATGCTCTTGAAACTCTCAAAAGAAATTAGAATTTCGCACAATATGAAGTAAGAAACTATAACTCAGAGATAGTCTTTTACTGGAGAGCTCTTGATAAAAATCAGCTTAAGTCATTCAGCCTGTCATTTACTCAGAGATATGCTGGAACTTGTTAATCAAAGCCCCAATATGCTTACATTTATTATAATGATGATCAACCTGCTTGGACTCAAGCTAAAAAAGGTTGAATTTATCAAAAACAACAATTAATGCTTTTAGAAGATATTAAAATTATTAGATTTAACAGAATTCTTGATTTTTTTATCTTTATTTTATCTATTCTTTTAATTATTAAAGAGATACTGATCATTGGGGTTTTGGGGTTTTGGGGTTTTGGGG